AATAAGGACATTTGGCTAAATGGATTAAATAAAAACTTGGTAAAATAAGGATTAAAAAAAGACTCAGTATTTTTTTTTAATTTCAAAGAACACATATTTTTTGTGACACTGTTCAAAGTATGTTTTGGTACATGCACAGACTCGCATTGCACATTTCGCACATGTATCTTCTATGAGGTTTCTTTCTTGTGCTACAAAATGTACACTGCCTGGATCTAAATTTCACTTGCATTATTTAGTTTCCAACGTTATTTAGTTTCTTTTCATCTGGCACATGAAATTTGTGGTTTTTATGTTAATTGGGGGGGGGGGGGGCGCTTGGTCTTTTTGGCTTTGGTACAGATCATTCGTTTCCCCATTCATACTTATTTTATTCGTATTTCGTCCAAAAATATTCAGAAAATATTTTTAATTTAAAAACAACTTTAAGCGATTTCTATTTGTTGATGCCTTCTCTAGAAGAAACTGCTCAGAAAGCTGCCGATATCGTACCAGGGTCGAAGAAAAACACGAGCTGCAGAGTCCGGTCACATGACAAATTACAATAACCACATCGGCTGATGGAGACCCAGGGAGTGACAATGAAGTCAAGAAAGATCAGCTGGGAGACGGTAACATTAAACCCATAATTGACTTAATGGAGTCCTCAAACAGAAAACCTGCTTGACAGGAGATTTCGATCTATAGTCCTATGACAAAACAATACTGGGTTCTCAGGGACTCACTCCATATGTGAAACAGTGTCTTGTATCGAAAATTTGAATCGCATGATGGAAAGGCTTTCCAATGGCAGCAGATACTTTCAAAATCTCAAATGCCAGATGTACTACATAGCAACTCTACAGGAAGCCATTTCGGAATAATGGAAGACTCTAGAGAGTTTGAGAGTGCTACTATTGCAATAATGCAAAGGATGACATGAAAACGTGCTGCCAATCTTGCAATACGCCTTTTGAACATTTGACATTTTTGGACCTCTGCCACAGACTGCTGATGCCAACAAATACATCCTCATTGCTATTGATTACTTCACTAAGTGTATCCTATTCATGATCAAGAGGCTGTCACAGTAGCAGAGGTAATGATATTTCCAGGTTCAGAGTGCCTCTTCAGTTACATTCCAATCCAGGAATAAATTTTGCATTGTCTGTAATTGAAGAACTCTATAAGCTACTCAGCATTGATAAAACCCAAATGACACCTTTACATTCCCAGTTAGATGGCATAGTAGAAAGGTTTAATCATGCCATCCATAATAACCTCTCATTGATGGTTTCCAGAAACTAACAGAGCTGGGACAAGAAGTTATTTCTATTTTTACTGGCTTACTGCAGTACTGTCCACGAGACTACCGGCTATTCCCCATGTCAGATGCTTGCTGGTTGTGACCTTCATCTGCCCTGTGATCTTTTGTTTGGTCGCCTTCCGGATGCGCCTTTATTACCTGATAGTTTTGCATGAGAGTGAGTCAGTTTGGCGACGGAAAAGATAAAGACCCAATACAACACGAGAGCTACAAGACATCGATTCAACGAAGGAGACAAGGTATGGTTCTGGAATCAGATTCGACGGATAGTGTCTGAAACTACAATCACCTTGGGATGGTCCTTACACAGTCCAAAAAAGGCTGAATGACGTTGTTCAAATCCATATGTCTCCAAATTCCAAGCCTAAAATTACGACTAAAGTCATTACGACAGGTTAGCTCCTTACTATGGCCATAGTACATAACATACATAATGTAAATAATATAAGAACAAAGTCCTATTTATTTCTAAATTTGTACATTCATTTATTAATTTAATATTTGACTTGTTTTAAGTTACTTATTGCAATTATTGCTTGTTGTTTGTTATTGTATTGTAATGTTTATTATTGCATTGATGAAGTAGTTGTAAGTATGGCTTCCTGTCCAGGGATGGTATGGTCTGGGATATGCAGTCCTTGGGAAGGGGGCAATGTTACAAATTTTGTACTTAGATACTGAAACTGCTATGAAAGATACGATGCAGTCATCAGAGCTTCATAAGGTGAGTGTAAAAATACCTCCTTTTTGGATTGATAAACCGGAAATATGGTTTTTTCAAGTTGAAGCTCAGTTCAAAATTAGTAATATCGTTTCAGAAGAAACTAAATTTAATTATTTAGTTTCACAGCTTGAACCTAAGTTCGTCAAAAATATTTGGGACATTGTAACGAACGATAGTGCCACAAAATATTCGGATGCTAAAATTAGGTTATTGCATTTATTCAAAGAAAGTGAAAATGTACGGATTAAACATTTGATTACTGGTATCGAACTTGGAGACATGAAACCAAGCCAACTTTTGCAGAAGTTGAGATCAGTTGCTACTACAGATGTGTCTGAAAAGATATGTAATTTTGGTAGAATTATAAGTAAAATTGTTGTATTTTTCTGTGTAATATAGCATGAGATAAATTTTAAAAGAAGGCTATGCTAGAAAAGTAATAATACAGGGGCACATGCATTTAACATTAAGTAAATGGATATCTCGGTAATTTGTATTGGAATTGAATAAATGTAGTTGACCACTATGTTAGCTGTAAATTGTGTATTATGAAATGGATGGGAAAAAAGCCATGTCTCTTATATCTACAGAGCATAATCCAGAAATGGTTCAAGTATCCACATTCAAGAATGATATAAAATAAAAGATGCCAATTTGCAGTTTCAATTAGATATTATCGATTAACTAACTGACAGACATGTAGCAGTAGAAAAAAGAAAAGGTCGATCTGGAAATTTACCAACTCCACTAAGACTCACAGAGAGACATTTTTTAGAGGCGATTCCACCTATAGACAAAAAACTAAGACCCACAAGACAGTGCTATGTGTGTTCACTGAAAAAAAAAGCAAAAGTATTAGAAAAGAGAACAGATATTTTTGACCGGACTGTGACGTTGGATTATGCGTCTCACCCTGTTTCAAGATGTATCACATTAAATCAGATCTTTGAAAAACAGGTTAAGAAAATGCAGTATTTGTAATTGAAAATAATTATGTAGTATTTGTAATCGGAAATAATTGTGTGGTAATTGTATTTTTTATATGCACAACTGTAAATGTAACTTCCCCATCTGGCAACCAACCATGACAGAGAAAAGATAACTTCCAAGGAAAACAGTATTTTTTATGTCCTGTAAAAAAGTTGTCATAAATGCTTAAAATAATTAGAAATATTACTTTTAATAACATTTTCGAGCTTACAAATATAAAATGAACAAATTTTGCAATTAAAAAAGTGGCATTTTTTGGATCGAATTCTTGAAAAAAATGAAACTGGGGTTAAAAAATAAGCACATCAATTCCATTTCTATTTCAGCTAGCGAGGTAGCATCACTCTATCAAAGTTTTTTTTTTTTTTTTTTTTTTTTTTTTTTTTTTAAATCAAATAGCGGGCACTTGGCTTTTTCCAGCATTGACCCCTCCTAAGGCCAGATGTGGTGGCCATTTTATTGTAAAGGCAACTAATAGGTATCCACCATTAGGGGCAGACAATTTATGTCCATGCCTTCTCTGGGGTTCGAACCTGCACCCTTCAGTATCGCAGTCTGCTTTCCTAACCACTATACTGTCTGGGCGGCACTCTTTCAAAGATGTAAGTTTCATTAGACAACTGCCGTGAGAATTTACTTTTGTTTCAAATATACTTTTTCGTGCTTAAAACATCCACTGCAAAAAAAGTATTTATGTTTTGTGCAGCAAGTTTTTGAATTAACATGTACATAGATTTTGGTATGTTGATGAATCAATCATTCAAAGGCACATAAAAATTACAAATACACTATCATCATTTACATAAAAAAATAGTAAAAAACTATTGGTTTAGTTGAGTAATTTTAAAAAACAAATTAAATTGATATACTTACAGATTAAGAATAACTACAGATGTTTTTAGCTCTTGCAGAATAATATGATATTGCACTGTTACATAATCAAAGAGGAATAAGAAATAATGTGCAATCAAAGTATACTCTTTTTTTTTTTTTTTTTTTTTTTTTTTGGCAGAAGAGGAGATTTTAATAGAATCATGTTTTTCTTAACTAGCTATAGTAAGGAATATTGGTTAATGTCTGATGAGGCTTGTTTTAAAAATAGGAATGTCCTTTTTTTTTTTCTTCTCCATATACCATTTGCAACAGTATTACCTTTTTGAACACATTTAACATAAAATAAAAAAATAGGAATTCAGAATTCCTACTTGAATTCCTACTTTAAACTTATTTTTTATTTAAATCACAAAAAGCATGCATCTTTAATTTTAAAAGTGATTTTTACATTTAGATAAGAGGATACTCTTCACAAAATGGCAGTAATTTATCTGAAACATATACTATACACTTTTTTAAATACTTAATAAATAAATAAATATTTTACTGAAATTTGCTGCTCTGATTTTTGGTAATTTATTTTGTTTCAGTAAAAACCTTTTAGGTAAAGTATAAATTTTAATGGACATAATTCGTCAATGAACACAAGCATTTAACAATTCACGCCCAAAGACATTTAATTCTTTATTAAAAGTCATTAATATTCTTTTGCATATAAATGTACTGCAGTAATTCATTTACATTATAAAACTTATATATTATTTTTTCATTATGAGAAAATGAAAAAGAGTTCATTGAAAGAAGATTGGAAATGAGTAATTTTGAGCTTTTTATTCAATCTTATCTTAGTTCTTCATTCAGTAAAATCCAGTTAACAATGTTTTATTGCACTTTATTCATTTACTTCAAGTAATTTGTCTGTAAATTTAAGTCTTGAATATGTCTGTTAATGTCATATCATTGAGATAAGACAGTTTATTGCAACATACTTTATAAGAAACAGCTGCTTGCCTGTTCTCAACATTTTAAGAGAATTTTGTACAATTATAATTGGAATGCTAAAAATTAGATTTAATAGTATCAGTTTGCTAAGGTAAATTTATCTTATCTTCAAATTACAAAGAATAAAATTATCTGTATATTTACCTCTTCCTCCTCTGCCTCCCCTGCCAGGTGTTGATGGTGTTCCTGGTGGCTTAGGCAAAAACCGACTCAATGGTAGCAACTTAGCGGGATCAATGTAAATCTGTAAATAATATTTTATACTCAGTTTGGAACTCCTATAAATATTTTTTTTCTGTAAAACTGACTTTAAAAAGGAAAAGCATAATTTTTGTAGGTTTTAGTGCTGAATTCTGTTAATTCAGTAACAGGCTAAATAAAAACTATAAGTACAAATTGCAAAAGTTACATAAATATTATAAAAATAAATTTTTCAATAATAATAGATGTTCCATAATTAATCCCGTAAAACTTAGATTTCTCAGTTTAAAATATACTCTTGAAGTTTGCTTATTCTTATGCTAATGCTTACCCATCAGTATAATTCTTAAAAAACTGAAGGATTTGTTCCTTTTTAATTTCAATATTATGATAGCATATTTCTAACAATCTATTATCCATGTTGTGCCAGTGAATCACTTTACATTGCTATTAATATTCTCAGATTCATTTTTAGCTATTTCTAACATTTTTATGGATGAAATTTTAAAATAAAGGTGAGAAATGTAGTTCTGCATCATCCAATTCCTCATTCCCCACAATATGAATTCCACACAATTATAGTCTCATGAATTTTCACCACATGAACTCCGCAAGGTAAGGTTCATGATGATAGCAAAACATGCCCCGTTCAATTTTTACTCCACCACTTTGGGAAGCTCCATGGTCTTTCAATATTTTTTGCATGAACAGCTATTAAATCGGTAAAATTAAATACACCTCTCTCATAAAACTGTTCAAATCAATAGCTGTGCATTTGTAAAGGCTAACTTCTCCCACCATTTAATCGACATCAGTTCCTCTGCCTAACAGTAAATAAATATCTGTGTTGTTACAAACTGTACTCTGAAATCAGTTCAACCACTTGTCAAAACATATACTTTTCCTTTGCTTGACACTTATCACATTGTATATTGAAACACTTTTCTTACAGTTTTTAGGGTTGCCACTCAAACAGGATAATGAAATTCCTTGACTTTTCCTGGCACATGTTTTACGAAAATTAAAGTCCATCCACGTAGTGTGCTTTGGCTTTGCTGAGAGGCAAATTAATTCTGCGCATGCGTCGCTTTGACGCGTGCGCATAGGCGTTTATGCCTGCTCGTAAGACTTTTACGGCTGCGAATATGGGTGTGCGCAAGCGCATAATACGCTTACGCATGCGCGTTTAATGTATAACGGACAGTATAAACTAAGCTAAAATTATCTAATTCAGTTAATGTTGCAAAATGCGTTGTTCCTTAATCTTCAAATTGGATCCGGCTTATTATTTTTTGCAGACTGTTAGAGCAATTTTATAAAAGTAAGCTTGAACTTTCGATTATGTCAAATAGAATTTCCAATATATATTTACTAATATGTAAAAGATCTACAAAGCGAAAGTATGTTTTGAAATCCGAAATCTGTTTATCAATTTCACGCTGCTCTGCGGCAGGGGGAGGGGCAGAAACACGACGGCGCGCAATGAATTGGAAGTTCCTCATCATTATAATTCGCTTCCGATAGTGAAGAAAGTGACAGAGAGGTTATTGAAAACGAAAACATTTCGATTGACAAATTAGTCGGTATTTTCGACACAGCAAGCGGAACTTTGTAACTAAACAAGAAATTATGTCTGTTTAATAGAATTTATTCTCACATGAAATGAAGCAACTTAAGCAACATACATTGAAAGAAATGTTTAATAAAGTAAATAAATAAATATTAAGCATTTTTTTTTTGTAAATTTTGCTACCCTTTAAATCATAATTGTTCTTTATTTCATAAATTACAGTTTCATATTTTTAATTTTGTAATTTCTGCATGCCATCTTACCTGATTTAAACTGATGATCTATAATCCGGAATCGCCGAAGTCCCTACGAGTCCGGATTATCGACTTTTGACCGTACTAGGATTAAACCGATTTTATTTTGTATGGGAATGGAAAGGTATTTTCTTTCATTCAACATGCGCATGTAAATCTCCTGATTCTTGAGGTTACTGGAAACTTGCTTTGCCTTTCTAAAAAATAATTTGATTGGAGCTGCCTGAATGACACTCACACTATATGTAATTCATCGGTAATGATCGGTTCCGATGTTGGTGTAAAAATCGCTTTTTCTGTAGATCGTTGTGTGAAATTCCCTGCCTTTTCCAGATTTTGATTAAAATATTTAAATTCTCTGACTTTTCCCAATTTTTCAGATTTTTCACATAGCGTGGCAACCTTGAGCTTTATTTAATAGCCATTTTCACTTACTCAAATGTCAAATAAAATGCATTTTTCTTGGGGAATAAAATTCTTCCTCACTTTTCAGTAAACCAAACACTTTTAGCATTTTTGCAAAAAAAGAAAATGCATTAACACGTGAAATGCTTGCAGTTCCTCTAGTGAAGAAAGAATTATGAGTAATCATGAACCGTGAACATTCATATGAAAAACAAATACAGTAGAAAGTCTGGACTTGTCGGACTTCGGCGATTCCGGATATTAGATCATCAGTTTAAATCTAGTACAATGGCATGTAGAAATTATAAAATTAAAAATTTTAAATCATGATTAATGAAATAATGAAGTATTTATGATCTAAAGGGTATCAAAATTTACAAACAAAAAAAAAAAAAAAAAAAAAAAAAAAACAGCGCAACTTTAATGTATTTGCTTACTTTATTAAACATTTCTTTCGATGTAAGTTGCTTCAATTGTACTGTTTTTAGTGCTAATGCTTTGTCTTTAATTTTGTAGACAAACATAATCTCTTCTTTAGTTACAATGAAGTCCTGTAACTGCTGTTTCTAGAATTTTGTCCAACTTGTCAATAGAAATTTTCTAGTTTTCAGTAACTTCTTTGTCACTTTCTTCACTATCGGTAGTGGTGGATCTAGAACCATACTACAGATTTTGCCATTCATTAATTGACTGATGATTGAGAAGCATTGTCATCACAATGAAAAACTTCTTTTATAAAATTTTCATTTATTACCACTTCCCCACATTCCTTTACAAAATCCTTTAATTGGAAATGTCAAAATGTCCCCTTATTTTGCAATATCTGAAACGTTTAAATTAGCATCTATCAGCATCAATTTAGCTATCCTTCACTATACCTCTGAGCTTGTGACTAACGACAAGTTGTTCCGTTAAATTTTATCTTGCTTCTATTGCACAAATAAGACAATTAAACCTGAATTGTATTAGTTTATTATTAATTATACTAATGTCTATTTCTTGCATATGCTTAAGGCTTACCAGAGTTCTGAATAAATAAATTCACAAATATACTTAAGGCTTATCAGAGTTCTGAATAAATAAATTCCCACATATACTTAAGCCTTATTGACGGCCGATGCTAGGTATCTTACCTCTGTGGGTCCTAAATTCTGCAATAATAGCCCTAAATGTAATCTTAAGGTCTATGCATATCATCAGCACTCGTCAACATTTTCTAGCTTAACTTAAATCTGTAATCATCGCCAAGCATAATGTCAACATAAAAGGTTACCATACTTCTTAATTATTCAATTACTAATATAAAAAAAAATTTTTTAGGCATCACTACATGAGTCATTACTCAAGTTGTCATGTTTTGATAAACATGTGGTGATGAAAGGCATGTATAATAAATAATGAATTGGCAGGTCAGTGTCAGATCAACGAAATATCTACAAATATGGAATGTTTGGGTTTGAGATGTGTGCGAAGCAGATGCACAGCAATGGAGCCAAATTACTGATTAAACAAATTTATGCTAAATTCATTGTTTCTTCAATAGCAAGATATTTTATTTAGTGTCAAAATAAAATTAAGAATCGGAACTATCCAGATGTTTTATAATGCACCGGGGGGGGGGGGGAATCAAATGCACATGTGTAAAGCCAACGAGGAAAACGTTGATGGTTTTGAGGTCCAGATTTTGGATCATTCTGGATAATGGACAAATTATAAATAATCATCATGAGGACTGCAGGCCACTTAAAGATTATTTGTGTTGGCGATTTAGCAGTAATCTTAACATTTTTTTGAAAAAGGAAGGTCATAATAATAAGGAAGTACGAAAATTGTATCAGAAAATTTCATTACTACGAAAGTAAAATTATTTTTGGTAATATTACCTTATCTGATGGCTTGATTAAAACTGCAATAATAACAGATAAAAATTCAAAATGCATGATTTTTAAGAAATTTAAATAGCGAAGATGAATTGCAAAATTACTGTAAATAACACACCCCCAATTTTGTTTAATTCCACATAAAATCTTATTAATCAATGAATTTTTTTAGAATTTATTAGCAACACAAAATGCCTTCTTGTGGTTCCAAATTAATGAAAATTAAAACAAAAAATTATTCAATATATTTTTCATTCAATTCTTAGCTACTTAGGAAAACAATAATTCAGCACATCTTCTGCATGAGGTGCTGAGAGCATTTCACTCAAAAATATTCAGAAAAGCATAATTGTTTCATGCCTTTTTGTCATTTTCAATTAACCCTTTGCTGACTTCATGTTTATTTATCACTTGCTATCATTTTTATAACCTTGATTTAAAAAAAAAAAAAAAAAGTTGATAATGGTATGTTTTTCATATTGATCAAACTGATATTTATTTCATGAACAGAGAAGCCAATTGCAACTGCACAATTAAATGTAATCATTGTAGAAATGTTGCAGCATATTTACATCCATGATAATGCATGAATGCCTCCTTTCATGAAATAGTCCTTTGCAGATATACGTACATTCTGACATATTAGAACAACTCTTAGGAGTTGAAATACTTTAAAAGAGATACACTCATGCCTCAATATTTACTGATTCAATCAGGAATGGTAAACAGATGCAAAGAAAACATATAGATTAAATTTCATAATGCAAGCAAAAGGGCTAATTGACAGTCACATAGTAAAAATAACACCTCAGACACACACAATATCATCTTCCATTATCTTTGCAAGTTCAATTCAGTACACTGTAATTAAATACAGGATAAGGAAATGGTTGTGTTGGAATCTTGCATGTATTTTCCTTATAGGATACTTGAGTTGAAACCCAAACCAATGCCCATAAATATATCAGTAGGAAATATTAGCTGTCAGTGTATTTGGCTTATCTTTATTTCCAAATATATATTTCTTCTTTTCAAACTTCTTTTGCCCTTGCTTTTAAATACATAATGTTCTCATTAGCGACATGCCATTTCAATTCTTCTGCTCTGAGTTCTTACATACAACAGAAGGGGCTCAAAGCACATGACTAGTGATGCTGTGAGTCAGCAGAGGGCAAATTTTATAACAGAGGGAACTGCATATTATAATTCATTCAACTGCCACAAGTCCATATTTGCATCATTTTAAACACAATTAAACATTTTTTGAAAAGAAAGAAATTAATGAAAATTTCATGTATTTTATGTAATTAATGTGGTTACATATAAACAAATAATTCTTATTTCTTTTGCTATTTATTCAGGAAAGTACAATCCTACAATAAACAAATTTGAAACTATTAAGGAAACAGAATGTTCTTTTTTCAGAGAGGAATATTTTCTTTTGCTTTTGTAAATCTATCTCATGCTAGCAATTGTTGACTGGTTTTAAATGAGATCAAAAGAAAATAGACGATCTATACTACAGATATAATGGTAAAAAGTTTTTCATTTGGATAAAAAATATAAATTGAATACACCAGGAAATATAGCATTTATTTCAGGGTATATATTCCCTGTAGTATATATATTATTAGGAAAAATATAACATAAATTAAAAATGTAAATAAAAATGTACTTACCTTCTGATTTTTTGCAAATGAGTTAGCTTTGACATCTTCAGCTAATTTAACTGATACACGCTTTGAAAGTTAAAAAAAAAAATAATAATAATTTTGATTATTTTTTATATACTATAAATAGAATGTTTCTTAGCATGGCAATAAATTTTGGAACAGAATTTATATTTAAATTAAAAATTTTCAATTTCTAAAAACTATGTGAGGTTATAAGAATCCAAGGCCTTGATTTAGCATTATTATGAATCATTAATTCAGTTAATAGTGAATTTTGGCAATAAATGTGCTAATACAAGTTCTCCCCTTTAAATATATTTAGAATTTCAGTGCCGTTGATACATTTTTTAAGTCAAAATTCATTATATTATTGGTATTTTAAGTTCATTTATAATTATCACCTAAAATTAGACAAAATTCAACCTTAACCTGGCATTAGCTTTAAAAAAAGTTCAATGCATTTTAAAAGAGTATCTTTTCTTCTTCAATAGCATTTCAATTTTGCCTCCTCATTTTTTTTTTTTTTTTTTTAACTTTTAAATAAATAAAAGTTATTAAGACTATGTCAACTATTAAAGCTTTACCAGTAATTAAATTCAAAATTAAAAAAAAAAAAAAAAAAAAAAATCTAGTTTTAAAAACTGTGACATTTGTTTCTGCATTTCTTTTGTTAATGTAACATGGCGTACATAGGAAGGTATTAACATACTGAAAAGTGCACTATTATTTCAGTACAATTAAAAAAATCATATATATGTAATGATATTTTTAAATCAATTGATTAAATTAAATTCTAATCATTTTCCTTAATAATGTGTTGGCGATTCTCTACCTAAATTGCATCCCTGTTCCCTGTCTCATTTTGGTGAAATTCTTTCTTTATTATAAATTATATTAACCTGTTGGCGCCTGCCAAATCGCCAAACTCATAAATCTGTCATATTACATAAAGTCCTTAAGAACACTCCTGATGAGAACCTCGTGATTTCAATTAATATTGCTGATTGTATGAGCACCATGACACACGCACACATATCTATAAATAGGGCTTCTCAAGGTAAAGGGAAAACGCTAGTGAGATGGATGCTAAAATAAACATGTCACTTTATATTCCAAAATTTGTCTCATTCCTGTTGCCCTGGCTGCACAACACAAATAACGTATGAGAAAATACGTTTCATATAGTATATATATACACAATTATAAATAATATGCTATTGTAAAGTTTTATCATTTCCTTTTTAATTTTACTTTTCGGACAAAGGTATAGTAGTAGTAGAGATAAAAATTTAGCAATCATATAGTGCTAAACAGGAACAATATTAAGTAACTTACAACAAAATAGGAAAAGTAAATGAAAGATCATACATCATGTTGCTTAGTAATAATTTAGTATCATATTTCTGATTTTTTTTTAATATATGAAAAACTAAAATATATATGCTTAGTTGAAAAAATAACACCTCTTTGAATGTAGAAGCATTAGAGAAAAGAGAGTTCTGGATTTATTAATTAGACCCATTCCAGTAAAAAATAATTTTGTATTACTTAAACAGAAAATTTTAAACTCACTCAGTTTGACCAATGTTAAGGTAAACCACTTTTATACAGAACATTATAAATTCTCCAAGAATTAAACTGTGATATAGAATTTTTAAAGAACTGAATCATGAACATTTAACCACTTTTAACTCATACAAAACAAAATTATTTTATAATTTGCACAGAAGGAAGATAATAAAAAGTGATAATAATGCAATAGTTATTATTATTATTATTATTATTAAGACATTGTTTACAATAAAACAGGAAAATTTTCTAAAAATTTTATTAAAAGCAAAAGCACAAAAACCACTAACCAATAACAACAGATTCAAATAATTGAATTCCTAAGTAGGAGAAGATTCAAGAACAGACATTAAGAACTAGAATAACTTATCCCTTCCCAAAAAGAAAAAAGCAAACAGAGATGGATTTAAAAAAAAAAATGTTGAATTAAATGCATTGCATGTTTAGAATCTAAAGGAAAAATACTAAGAGATTTAATTGCAATAGTGATTAAAATAAGAGTACAAATAATACTAATAAATAACTGATAATAAAAAAAAATGCAAAGGTATTTATCAATACAGTCAAAAATCGTTAATCCGGACTCGTCGAGACTTTGTCGATTCCGGATTATAGATCATCAGTTTAAATCTGGTAAGATGGCATGCAGAAATTATAAAATTAAAAACATGAAACCGTTATTTATGAAATAAAGAAACAATTATGATTCTAAAGGGTATCAAAATTTTACAAAAAAAAAAAAAAAAAAAAAAAAAAAAAAAAAAAAAAAAAAAAAAAAGCTTAATATTTATTTGTTACTTTATAAGCATTTCTTCAATGTAGGTTTTGTTTTAAGTTGCTTCGTTTTTTTATGTGATAATACATTTCTTTAATTCTATAAACAAGACATTAATTTCTTGTTCAGTTACAAAGTTCTCGCTGTCCAGTCCTATAATTGGTGCGAGAATTACCGACAATTTGTCAAGCGAAATTTTTTCATTTTCAATAACCTCTGTCACTTTCTCTCTATCGGAAGCGAATTATAAGACGAGGAATTGATTTCAAATCATATCAAAGACCGGAGTACAAATGGCAACATTAGTATGGATTATAAGCCAAATAAAACAAAAACATTGCCTGAAGATAAGGATAGTGCTGACAGATCAACTTCCAATACATTGCCTGCCCGCTGCAGCGTTAAAGATAAACAAAAGTTTAGATAAACAAGGATAGCCTTTATCCATTTTTGCGCAATTCCATTTTTTTAATGGACTTCGAAACATATTTGCTTGTAGATCCTTTAACAATTTTGTTGAGATCCCCCTAGGGGCTTGTGGCACCCTCAACTGTGTGAGAAAAGTTCGATTTGAGTGAGAGTTAGCGTGGGTTTTGAGAATGTAGTGTGACAAGCTGATACGGCGTTGCTATGTAACTGTACTATGTATATAATGTAATTATGTATTATTTAAAAGGGGAGCAATTTTGAAGGAGCATACTTCACAATATTAGTAAAATATATCAAGAAATTCTATTTGACAAATCAAAAAGTTCAAGCTTACTTTTAAAAATGCTCTACAGTCTGCAAAAAATAATTAGCCGAATACAATTCGAAGTTTAAGGAACAACGCAATCTGCAACATTAAATGATTAGATATTTTTAGCTTAGCTTATACCATCCTTATACATTAAACGCGCATTCGTAAGTGTATTTTGTGCACGCACACACGCGTATTCGCAGCCGTAAAGGTCTTACGTGCATGCGTCGCGAAGACGCATGCACAGAAAGTTTGTAGCTTTGAGGTCCAGATTATAGATCATTCCGGATTATGGGTGTCCGAATTAACGACTTTTGACTGTATAACAAATGCATTTTTTATGTATATAAATATAAACAAAATCAGAAGTAAGGCAGATATCATATCTAATCTTTCAATCTGATATCAACTATAAATGAGCATAACCACCACAGAAGGATACATAGTCTCTAACTGGTCCAAATATCTCATCTATTTTTCCTATTTGCTGTTTATTTTCTAAATAAACAGGTGCATTAAAAAATGGCACATCATCAATAACAGCTTTACATACAAGATCATCTTCACATGGATGTGTATAATAACCAAGTTCTAAAAGAATAAGAAGAAAAGTGAATAAAATGCACTTAAGATTTGATTTATGTTATTCACTTAAAAATATCACAATCAAAATAATAAAAACTACAATTTAAATGCATAGGTTATTAAATTATAAGATTAAAGTAAATAATGTAAAATTTGATAAGCAGAAATGTTTATTTCCTAACTGCTTCAGACATTATAATACAACACAAAGTTTCTTAGAAAATGTTTCTTTTTCTTATTCATTATTATTATTTATTACGAACAGAACAGTATCTCTAAGCTATAAAGGTTATCACACAAATGTTTTTTCCCAATTTACAAAGTTGATGAGTGTTATGAGTAGTTGACTTTTTGTAAGTTTGTGGATAATCAGGAAGTAGCAAATTGTCTTAATATACTTAGTATTATGCTGCCTCTATAAAATAAATACTGTTTATTTAAGTACAATATTTGTTCTCTTAAATATATCTTAAGAAGAAAAACATTACGCAACTAGTATAGTAAATCTCACTTATTAACTACTTCCCTTTTGTTTAAAATCTATCATCTGCTGCAGTGTTTTCTAACTGATGTGCCACAAAAGGACTGGAAACATGCCACCAAAAATTGTAACCACAAATATCCTGATTTTAGATCACAAAACCGAAAGTGATTATCAAATACTTTGCTGCAATTAAAATTTAATGATGTTATCAAATTGATGAATATGGTCAAAAGAAGATAATTTCAATCCAGTCTTTTTTCAATTTTAGAGATGACTGAGAACATAACATCAATCTTTATTGTTCCATACTGAAGTTTGTTAGCTGTCAAAAGGCAGAATTCTATAGAGAGTTCATAAATTGAAAGAAGAATAAAAAGCATTTTTTGAGAGTAACTTAGTATTCAGCCAACTTGGAACACAATTACTTGTTTTTTATGTAAAAAAAAAGTAACCTAATTAATTAATAACAGAAACATATTTGAATACTTAACTTGAATGAAAAATACAAGGATCACTTAAGAATATGTTAACTTTCAGTGACGAAATAAATGGATTTAAAAATAAAAATCAATTCTGGAAAGATGAGGCAGAAAACAGTTTTTTAAATGATCTAATTTGAATTCTACTAATCGATCAATATCTTGTATGCTTGGTCATTACTACTAAAGCATCATTACTACTTTGAATTAATGAAGACAAAGAAATTCAAATGGGTTCAAAATCCATTTTCTTTATTATATCACAAGGCATCCAGTAAAAGCAAAGGAGTCTTGGCTAATCTTTGGAATATGGTAACAGGTAGTTTGGCGACATTTTGGGTTAAGGATTCGACTACTCTTTAGCAATGATCTGAGAAGTTACACATTCCAGTCACAGATATTTTTGTGGTAACTTTATAATAGATAATTTTAGAGGGAAAAAAATTAAATGTAATTTTTTTGCTATTTTATTTATTTATACGTGCACTGTATCCTTGGAAAGGTTATGCAAGCTGAATATAAAGCTTGCACTAGTAGTAAATACTTTTTAGCGACACAGGTTAATTTCATACATGTCCTTTTTACCGACTTCAAAGATTCACAAAAATTTTCCTGCATTTTTCGTGCAAAATTTCCTATTTTATGAGAAAAAATTTTACATGTTCATACATAAATTGCCTGTAAAAACAAATTTCTGTGCACGTTTTCACTACTTTCCAAAACTCCGTCGTGATTTTAGCTAATAAAGCACTTAAAACAATTTCGCACCTAATCTTCGTCATGATTACACTTTTATTCTAGAAGTTCTAGATAAAGCATAATCGGCTACAGATTTTTGAAAAAATTTGGAAAAAACAAAATGGCGCCCCCCCCAAAAAAAATTAGCAGGTTGCGTAGGGGGGTCGCAATTTTCCCCCGAGTTACCATAATCTAAGATTCACAGGCTTTTTAGAGTTTAAACATGATCATTCTCTCGAAGAATGGTCAGTTACCTGAATTCTGAACTGCAAGATGAAGTTTCGTTAATCCAGATTACAGAAACTTGGCGACTTTTGGCGACCAACTGCTACAGCACCTGCTAGTTTTTTTTTGGGGGGGGACACCATTTGTTTTCACAAAGTAAAGGCATTTTTTTTTTTTTTTACTCAACATTTTTTTCCAACATCTGCTAGCTAATTACCTTAGCTAGAACTTTTATGGAACAAAAGTGCTTAATCATGACAAAGATTAGTGCGAATTGGGAAGTGCAGAATCGCCCACGCTTGCCGGTTTTTAAAGAATTGCACATCACGGTATCATCCATGTAACACGGGACCTATTTTCCACTTAAAAAAAATCCCGAATTGCACAAAAATGGCACTGGCCACACTCTTGACTTATCCATGTACACTGCTTAAAGTCTAGCTAGTAACCTTTATCGCCTTAAAAAAATGTCGCCAATTACGTGTTACTATTCCAGAATAGCCAAGTTTCTATTTATGAGTGAAGAAATCTTTAAGCTCGTTTACTATTTGATGTATACATGAGTGACTTCTGTGCTATCAAGAATTGAAGAAATAATTTTTTTAACCACAATCCAAAGAAAAAAGTTTTCACAGAACAAACCAAGTTATCTCACTAAATAAGAACATATATATGTAGTAAATATAAAAAAAATATAAAATGTTTATTTTGCTATTAATTATTAGTAGTAACATATTTATACATTAAGAATAATTATTTTCTCTATAATTAACTTTATCATTTACATTTTTACATTACAATATTATTAAAATAAGGAATCTAAAAATTTAATTACAGTTTCACTTGATCAAATATGCTAATTAGTTAAGAGATGTGATATAAAAGCTATATCAAATATCAGTCACTAAGGATGTATGGATTAAGTAATTTGAGTTGTATACTAATTCTGGAGATAAATATTGAAAATGAAATAAATAAACAAAGGTGATGTGCCTAATTTCAAAATTGTGCCTCTAGCTGTATGTATAACAAGAGTGGCATCTGAAACATAAAATAAAGATATCAAACCTTTTACTTGATCAGGTGGCCCAGAATCATAAGAACCTCTGAATCCTCCTCTGCCTCCACCTCCTCTTCCTCTCCCACCTCCTCCAAAACCTCCCCCTCTCCCTCTACCTCCAAAACCACCTCCTCTTCCTCTACCACCAAATCCTCGAGACATATCTAAAGAGAAGAGTGAAATAAATTATTAAAATTGCAAATTAAAAATAAAACACTTACAAACATATCAATAACAAACAAAAAATATTCTTTTCAATTTGAATTATATTTATGTCTAGCCAAACACTGAATTATAAATAAAATAAAATAAATATTCAATTCATAAATAAAACTTCAAATTAAATTACCACAGAATATGCAGCAAATTCACAAATTATATTGTCAAAAATAAATTTATTATAGAATTTATTACTTCCATTAAAAACATCTTTGATATAGTGACCCATAAAATATCTCAACTAATTTTGCAAAAATCTAGGCTCATCAGAAGCTAAAACAAGTAAGACAGCTGAGCACTAAGAATTTGACCTGAATTAAAATCCTCAAAAATGAGCTGACTACATGGATGCTTCTTTGGTTTATCGTATTTGCAACATGAACATGAGCTAGTTTTCTTGAGAAAATCCAATATTTTTTTTTTTTTTTTTTAGGGGCATCAATAGTATCTGTGCACTCATATCAAATATTGTATGAACTTTATCAAAATCAAAACACTATGAATTGAAAGTTGTAGTATGAAATAAAGTATTCATAATTATTTTCATACAAATATGCACATTTTTTTTTTTTTTTTCCTGTATGCGTTAAAGAAAAATTTAATAAATAAAAAAAAGGGAATAAGTTGTGATTATTTATTCTCAAGTTTTGACCCACATGGAAAATTTTTGTAATTTGCTTATATTTACTTTAAGTACGTTATTAAGCAGTTTATTCAACACATGAAAATTATTTGAAATAAATGTCAATCTGAAAATGTAACGTTTAGTTGTTAACATTTGAATTAAAAAGTTTGAGCATCAGAAATTTCTTGCAAATACCAACCTTCTTAGACTTCAGAAAGAAAACAAATATTAATTGGAAACTGGTTCAAAGGTTTATTAATTTTTTTTTTATGCCAACACTTTAGGTTATTTACTTCTGATGTTAAAAACCTCCAACGGGTAGAATTTTGTCAACTGCATTTAGGAATGAATCATAAAATTGTCACTTTGAATAATTACATATGAGAGATATATATGATGATTCGGTTGATCTTTACAATATGGTAACTGGTTGTTTGGCGACATTTTGGAGGCGATAAAGGTTACTACCTGGGACTTACGATAAAGGTTACTACCTGGGATAAAGGTTACTGGATAATGTGAGCAGTACTCAGTTCCGATTATGCATTATTTTGCGTGAGGGAAATGAGATATGGGATATGTCATGTGATATTATGGACGATTACGGTTTTACTTCGGGAAAAATTGTGGAAATTTTGTATTTTAGCTTATTCTGTGTGTGTGAAACGGTGTTATTAATTTTTGGATCCCATGGCCGTAACTAAAGTGAATTCGAAATGGATATTTAGGCATTGTGATAAGAGAAGTTTGCTTTTTATTAGCGGAGGAAGTATGGGGAAAATCGCAGAAAAAAATCTTTCAGTAATTTTACGATGAAATTAGAAAAGCGTATCCCACGTAATCAAGATTCTGAAGAAGATTAGTAAGTTACGTATTTTACTTATTTGAGGATTATTTTAGCATTGTTCTAAATGTAAGGTGGACAGGATTTGGTTATTGGGAAAATTGTAATTAGCAATGATTTAGTTAAAGTAATTAGGATTTAAGGTAATTTTTATTAATTTAATGTATTGCTCATTTAGTTTTAAGTAGTGTTTTGAATTTAATTATATTTTTTAAATGATAGTTATTGTGTGATTTTATGTTTGTAGGATTGGTATACGTTAAGTTGAATAAACGTGCATGAAAATAATTTAAATATTTGATACTAAGTATTGTAATGCTTGCGGTATGAATTCGTTGGTGACGTGTATAATAATAGAGAGATTTGGCAAAAGTTTTTGGATACTTTATTTATTTATAGTGGAAATGTTCATATTTGAAAAGGGTAAATACTTTTTTTTTTCGCGATCAGGAATTTCATATGTTCTTTTTACGGGTTTAAAGATTGAGAAAATTGTCATGTATTTTGTGAATTTTCTAATTTATGAAAAAAGCAGTGTACATGGATATAGTGAAGAGTGTGCACAATGCCATTTTTGTGCAATTCTGGATGTTTTTTTAAGTAAAAATAAGTTGACGTGTACATGGTTTAGTGATTTTTAATTAATGATAGTTATTTTGATTTTATTTTGTAGGAATACGTTTAAGTGAAAAATAAACGTGCATGGAAATAATTTAAATATTTGATACTAAGTATTCGTAATGCTTGCGGTATGAATTCGTTGGTACACTTATAATGTAATAGATGATTTAAAACGTAAAAGTTTTTGGATATTTTTTATTTTATATGTGGGAAATGTTCATATTTGTAAAGGGTAAATACTTTCGCGATCATAATTTCATATATGTTCTTTTACCAGGTTAACGATGAGAAAAATTGTCATGTATTTTCGTGAAATTTTCTAATTTATGAGAAAAAAGCAGTGTACATGGATTATAGTGAAGAGTGCGCAATGCCATTTTTTGTGCATTTGGGATTTTTTTTAATAAAATAAGTCGGCGTGTACATGGTTTATGTCTGTGTTATTTTGAAAAAACACATAAGGAGTATGGCACTTTTTTCCCAATTTTGCAGTGAATATTTGTCTGATTTAAGCAGTTTTGTTTGATAAAATTTCTAGCATAAGTGAATTCGGCTAGTAATTGTTGGAAGAAGTGTTCAGTAGATAAAGAAAACAAACATGTCTTGCTTCGTGAAGACAATGGAGGGGGGGAAAAAAATAGAGGGTTGCTGTGTAGGAGAGTTGGTTGCCAAATTTTCGCCAAAAAATCGCCAAGTTACCATAATGTAAAGATCAAACGATGATTCATTACTTTCTTGACCTTAAAAAAAAAAATTGGAACAAAATCAGTAAAGAGCACGAATGTAAATTTTCTTGCAGAAACAACATCATTCTTCTACCACAGTGGGTATTTAGCAAGATTTGCAGTAAATCAAGCGAAATTTCCTAGTGGCTGTGTGTGCCTGCTTGTTCAGCGAAAACTTTGATTGCAGCAATACATGAAAACACAGCCAATGATATATAATTTATTCAGATTCTTGGAAAGTGAACAAAGTGAATAAACTGACAGCTGCCAGATAC